TTAAATTTTTATTTCAGAGTTAGCAGTCTTGAAGGCAGCTGACTTAAGCTAGCACATTTGTTTAAAACTTTCAGTTATTCATTTAGAATGTGGGCACTTTAAGTTTACTTTACCCTTCCCCTCAATTTAAAAATCCTTGAAGTGAATAAGATAGAGAACGAATATTTAATTCCTCATTGTTCTTCCTGTTTGGGGTGAAATGAAGAATTACTTCTCAGATGGTAAGTAAGCTTTGCCTTAGCACCATTATTTTTTTATTTATTTGTTTTTTTGGGAGAGGTTTTTGCTATAGGGCACGTGCACTCACCAGCCAGAGAGAGACAGAGAGATAGAAAGTGAGAAATCACCCCCCAAGGGGGATGGCCACACCGCAATCCCTTCTCCTCCATTCTCCTCTTGGGATCTTGGGCACGCACACACACACGAGCCCAGTGTGAGTTTTAAGCCACCGGGTCCAGGACACGAACCACGTTCGACTACATGGGAGTCCAGTGACATAGCCATTATGCTAACTGCTGGTCCCGTGCACCATTATTTTTTTTTTTAAGAAAGATTTTTGCTATAGGGTGCATGCGCTTGCCAGGGAGTCAGAGAGAGAGAGAGACAGAAAGTGAGAAATTAGATGACCATGCTACGATCCCTTCTCCTCCATTCTCCTTTTAGGATTTTGGGCATGCGCACGCGCACACACACACACACACACACACACACACACACACAGTGTGAATTTTAAACTGCTGTGTCTGGGATTTGAACCACGGTTGACTACATGGTTAGTTCAGCAGCATGATTGTTATTCCATCTGCTGGTCCCACGCCTTAGCACTATTTTATCAGTTCCTTTTTTCTTGATTATTTTTACTGAAGAGTTCGGAGCTGGTAAACTCTATGACCTCCTCCATTATTCTGAAAGTATCGGTTTCTCATAATCAATCTCCCAAAAGTAAGGATGCGTGGTCTCTTATTTTTCAGTGCTGTTGGGTGGGTGCATGCCCACAGGAGAGAGCACCAACCTACAGGGCCTGGTCATGTTGCAGTCCTTTTCCTCTCATTCTCCATCCCATCCCGTCAAGACTCTGGGCACATGTACATGCATCCAGTGTATTTTTCAACCGTCCAAGGTCAGGACTCAAACCCTGGTTGGCCACGTGGGATCCAGCTTCCTTTGCACAGTGCCTATCTACTATACTGTGGGGCTAACCCCAAATGGTCTTTTATATAAGAATGGTTCTTTTCAACCTGTTACTGAAAGTATTTACTTGACATGATTTTCATTTGAATAAATATCAAAACGAAACAAAAATAAAACTCAAAGTTCTTGAACTTCCAGAAATAAAAGTACATATCTAAGCAATGAAAAAGAAAACTGAGCTCCCTTTAAATTGATGCTAGATTTTTTTCCCCCTTGGATTTATATGAAAGCACATTATAATTTCTCCCAATAGGATGTGAGAGACAGTGATACATTCCGAGTTCAGATTGAAGTGGTTAAAAAGTCAGTATGCTTTCTCCATGTTCTTTTGTCGACTGCCTGGATGAGAAAACTGCAGTTATGGCCCTAAAAAATGGCAAAGCTATCATAATGGAAGAAGCATGAATCTCTGAAAGAGCGCACGGAGCCAAGTCCCTACTGATACGAACTGAATTTCGAAGTGAGTAAAAACAAATTGTTATAAGCCAACAGAATTTTTAGTTTTTTAGTTTTTTGTTTTCTTAGCTTGTTAACTGACCCTTACTGATACATTTCTGTGAACATAGTGTGCTCTGGGAGAGAGGAGTTAATATAAACATTTTATGTTCCTGTGGAATGAGGCTAGATCCCATATGGCCAACTGCCTGGTTCAAGTCCTGGACCCAGCAGCTTGAAACGTACACTAGCATGCATGCTCAAAATCTTGAGAGGAGAATGGAAGAGAAAGGACTGCATCATAAACATTCCCCCCTATGGAGAGATTTTTTCACTTTCCTTCTCAGTCTGTCTCCTCAGGCAAGCTGGTACTATAGAAAAACAAAACAAAACAAAAAACTATCTTCCTATGTAAACTTCCATAGTTCAAATTTGTGTAAAAGTATATTTCAAACTCTGAAGCATTTTACAAACATATTATAGTTATTAACAACATTAACACAAACATGGTCACAATGATTTCACTATTTCAATCATGTGTGCACTTTGGAACAGAAGTTGAGAAAACAAATGAATAGACAAGAAAAAAAAATCCTCTTAAATTTGAATTTTCTGAGAAGTAGTCCATGTTACAACCTCAAAGAAGTGTGACTTGCAGCTATTCTAATAGCTATATTTATAAGGAAACTATAGATTCAGAAGCAAATGTAGAACATAAGATATACACAACGTAAACAACATAACACACCCGAATCTTGACCTTGCGTTGTTTCTGAGGTTTTTGTCTTGTTTTGTTTTGTTTTTATTTTTCCTTAATGCACTTTTATTTAATTTGGCTTAGCTATTTTAAAGATTGTATTACTCTGGTCAGAAGCAGTGTTTTAGAATTCAGCTGGGTCACAGGAACTTTCTCACCACTCTATTCTAATTTGCAGTTTTGCTATAATAAAAGCCCTAAATATATTGCTACTGTCTAGACGTTTTATCTGAAACAAGTGTCCTTTGTAGTCTCAGAGGACTTTTCTATTTTATTTCCAGTAAATCAAAGCCTGTAAAGAGCTTCAGTTCTTATTAAGACATACCCTTCACAGTCCAGTGACCGCCGACTGTGGCAAGCCATTGACAGTTCATTTACATATAAGTGATGGCTTCCATCAGGTAGTTGGCTCAAAAGCACAATGGACATTTAGAGCATATCCAATATTTCTTGTTCTCTGATGAGTACCAAGTGCCAATTTTTATATAGATCCTGACTATTGAAAAGTGGAGACTTCTTTTCTCTGACCTTACACTGTCTTCTATAGTTCTACGGTGACATATTGTCACTGAACTGGATGTAAGATCACACCCCTAGAAGACATCCAGAGACCTACTTCAGTCCGCCAACAATCCAGAATAGTCCAATGCAGGAAGTATGAGACAAGAACAACTGCATTGCATTAAGGGGCAAAAAAAAAAAAAAAAAAAAAAAGAGCTTCTTCTGTATCCTGCTCTAAAGTTTCATAATCATAATTTAATTTTTATATTTTATTTGACAGTGCTTATATTACTTTCCTCTTATAAATATATTTACTGTTTGAAATAGAGATTACCCAACACTCACTAAGAAATCCTGTACTTAAGTACTTAAGTCTGAGAATGCCTTTCATTATAACTATGCTTTTGCTCCCAAGTTTTTGTAAAGGTGGTGGTGGAAATCTAGCTAAATTTTTATTCTAGTAATGCTATACAAAGGAGCAGGCTGATGATCTGTTACCATGCTGAGATTCCACTTAATGTGTCACTTTTTTTTTTAATTGTGCATTTTCCAGCTTTTTTCAGTAGATAAAGAAAAATAAACTCTTCTTTGTAAAGTGAAACTCTCTCAATTATCAATAAGGAGAACATAGATTATTTAATTTCATGGAAAAGTAAATCTCTATATTTGAGCTAGTAATTCCTTCTTTTCCTGTCAAATGTTTTAGTGCTAAAATATTCTGGTTAGAGGTTCACCCTGCTTTTCATTCCATCTGGCTTCTGGGTTTTGGGGGCCCTAACTCTACAGGATTCTTGTAAGTGGGCTTACTAAAAATGTCATGTTGATAACTTCTTAGAGTGTTCTTAGAGTCTACTCCACGGCGTGAAGGCAGCTTGGGAGAGTTTTTGTTCATTTGTTCATTCATTTTAAAATCAAGGCCTATCACAGAAGTAATAGATCAACGGTAAGAAAGAACTGTGGAAAAAAATGAAACACTCATCGTGCAGTTCTCATGTCTATTCATACTCAGTTGTTACAGTATGTGTGTTCTTTTCCTTCAACTATGGATTCTCATTGGTTTCTCCAATCCATTCTCAGGCAGAAGGATGAATGGAATAAAATCAAAGATTTTCAACTAATGTTAGCAACTGTGCTTTAGTCCTTTCAGCACCAAGGCAGGTACACTCAGGTATAGTCTATACTGACTCAGTTTTTCACATTTAAGTGAGCGATGTTGAAAATTAACTGTCACTTAAAACACATTTTGAGAGACCCTTTCCAAAAAATTTAACTAATGAAGGACATTCCAAAATAAAGAAATTCCTTGACATATATAATTTTAGAAAAACATCACATGATTATCTTTTTCTTTTTTTTTGAGGATTTTGCTATAGGGCATGTGCGCTCATCAGAAAGACAGAGAGAGACAGACAGAGAGAAAGCGAGAAATCACCCCTCAAGGGGTATGGCCACAGCACAATCCCTACTCCTCCAGTCTCCTCTCGGGGTCTTGGACACACACACACACACACACACACACACACACTCCTGGGTGAGTTTAAGCCACTGGGTCTAGAACTCGAACCATGGTCAACTACATGGGCATCCAGTGATATAACCATTATGCCATCTGCTGGTCATTCATTATTTAAAAAAAAAAAAAGATAAATCTGGGAGTATTTTATTCCAGAACCATGAGTTTTTGTCTTTTTGTTTTGTTTTATATTTGCTATAGGGTCCATATATTTAATGGAGAGAGAGAGAAAAGGACAAAGAAAGAGAGGGAACACCCCCCCCCCAGAGGGACAGCCATGCTGCAGTCCCTTCTTGTCCACTCTCCTCTCAGAATTTTAGCCACACATGCACATGTTCCTGGCATGGGTCTGGAGCCATCAGGTCCAGAACTTGAACCGCAGAATCAGCCTTGGTCGATCCAGCCACCTTAACCAGCATGCCACCGGCTGGCCACAACAGAACCATGAGTTTTAAGAATAAGAATTTTAAAGTTGCATTATAGCATTTTTCAGCAATGGAACACAATGAATTGCAGTCCAATAAAATGAATACTTGACACTATTGTGAGTTCACTTCAAACAGATTTTTTTAATGAAGAATTCAATGGATGTTGTTCATCCAAAGATGTTCAGAAATTGTAGACTTGTCAAAGTCCTTCTTCATATATACAGAGATGTGTGTTCTCCTGTTGACACAGAACAAATCCAGGGCTAATGTTAATTTCTCTCTTAGGTAGACAGATTCAGCTGCTGAAGGTAACAAGATTGTGCTGAAAAGATCATTCCATTTCTTCTGAGTTATAATACTGTCTCATTTTCCTTTCTCTTATGGATTTGCTCACCAACCTTCCAACAACACGGATGTTAGCTCTTTTGAGGATTGGATGTCCATTCACTACAATACAAAGCATATGATCATATGAATAAATATTCATTTAGTCTGATAAAATGTGTCATGATTTTCAAGTCCTAGACTATTCTAGGAAATGAACTGTGGTGGGGCTAGCCATGCCCAAGAGTACACTGGGCACATTTCCTTCAGGTGTACTACAGCACCTTCTATGTCATACCAAGAGACTCACAGTTACTGCTGAAATGAGGAGTTGAGGAAAGGACAGCAGAAACTGGCTACCACTAATATACAGAATACTTGAAATAAATTAGAAGCAACATGTTTAATCATAAAAAAAGATCTGAAAATGTTTATATTATAATATAACTAGCTCTGATATTGATATTTAAATCACATAAACTATAATTTATATAGATAGATTACTTGTATTGAGTCCTCTTGATGTATAAAGTTACTTTCCAAATAAATAAAAGTCATAGATTTACTGTGGCTACCTTTATACACAGTGATAATTTAGTGATAGGGTAGTGTATCTCTGCTGTTTTGGTATTATAGTTACTAAATAAAAATATAACAACTGCCAAGACACAAAATTAATGCGAACAATCCACATTGCTAAAAGGAAAGGACTTGGTGCAATGTAAGAAACAGGATATTGTGGGGCTCTGTTCACATTGCTCTAGACTGTCGTAAGACAAAGGGCAAGTCTTATAACAACGAAGTTAAATTAGGCCCCATTAGTGAAGAATCTAAATAGGCATTTCTCCAAAGAAGCCATAAAAACGTCCAACGTGTATATGTGAAAATGTGTTCAACATCATTAATTATAGAAATGCAAACTATAACCACCATGAGATATCATCTCATACCTGTTAGCATGCTGAGTACCAAAGGTTTAGAAAGAAATGTTGTCAAGTATGTGCAGAAAAGGGAACCTTTGTACACTGTTGGTGGAAATGTAGATTGGGAAAGCTATGATGGAAAACTCTATAGAGGGTCTCACGGAAATTAGAAATAGAACTACCGTATGACCCAAACCCGGAGGAGATGGAATCGGCACCTCGTAATGAGAGCCGCACTCCCGCGTTTCCTCCAGCATTATTCACAATAACCAAGAGTCAGAAACAACTTGAGCAGCAGTCAGAGGACAAGTGGATTAAAAAACTGTGGTGTGTGAGGCCAGCGGGTGGTGTGGTGGTCAAGGTGCTGGACTCCGACACAGCCAATTTTCATTTAAGTCCTGGACCCAGCAGCTTGAAACTCATGCCAGGTGTGTGTGCCTGCATGCTCAAATCCCAAGAGGAGAATGGAGGAGGAAGGATTGTGGCATGGCCATTCCCGCTGGGAGATGATTTCTCACTTTCTCTCTCCAGTGAGTGCACACACCCCTATAGTAAAAACCTCTCCAAATGAGAGAGAGAGAGAGAGAGAGAGAGAGAGAGAGAGAGAGAGAGAGAGAAGGAAGGAGGGAGGGAGGGAGGGAGGGAGGGAAGGAAGGAAGGAAGGAAGGAAGGAAGGAAGGAAGGAAGGAAGGAAGGAAGGAAGAAGAAAGAAAGAAAGAAAGAAAGAAAGAAAGAAAGAAAGAAAGAAAGAAAGAAAGAAAGAAGAGAGAAAGAGAGAAAGAGAGAGAAAGAGAGAAAGACTGTGATATACAGATACAATGGGATAGTATTTGGGGTTAAAAAAATTAGGTTTCTGACATTTGCAAAAGCACAGATGAACTCGGGGACATTATGCTAAGTGAAATAAGCCAGACATGGCAAGAAAACTATTGCACAATATTTCTTGTATGTGGACTCTAAAAAGAGAGTTGAATATAAAGAGAGAGAGAATAAAACAGTAGCTACCGGACTTGAGGAGGTAAGGGCGGGATATGGGTCAGAGATCACAAAGCAGCAGATATGTGGGATGAACAGTCTAGAGCTCTAATGTGCACCATGAGGACATTTAGAAACACTGTACTGCAATTAGGATTCCAGCTTCATAAACAGATTTGAGCTGCTCTTTATATGTATAAAAAAAAGGAAAACCGTGAACTGATTAATATGTTAATTTGCTTCACTATAATCACCATTGTTTTATCTATGTGTATCCTACTACATCAGGTTGTATACCTTAAATATACATAATGCAATTTGTTTTAAAAAATTAGTTAATTAAACCACATTAAGAGTGTTTATAGAATAATCAGTAGCTATCATTTCCGATGTGAAAGGCAATCACCAATTAGTGTCCTAACCTAGTGCATCTATATGAGATAAGCATAAGATAATTAAGTTCTTTTTTTCAAAAAGAACTCTTTTATTTAACTATTTATTCATTTATTCATTTATTTATGTATTTTAATTTGACCAGAGAGAGACAGAACAACAGAGAGAGAGTGAGAAAATAAGCCTCCAGGTTCGAGACAGGAACTATGGTCAGCCATGTGGGAGTCCACCACCCTTAACCACCATGCCACCTGCAGGCCTGATAATTAAGTTCTTGAGATAAGAACAAGATAAAATGCTTTCCTATTGTGAATTTTTAAAAAATGTTGGCAGAGAGTATGTACACTCACCAGAGAAAAAGGGAGAGACGGAGACAGAGAGAGAGAGGGAGAAAGCATCCCCTAGTGGGGCCTGGACACACGACAATCCCTTCTCCATTTATCCATTCTGTTGGACACACGCACCAGCACCTAGTGTGTGCTTTTCAAGTCACAGGGGCTGGGGGCTCGAACCACAGTTCACCGTGTGGAATACAGCTTCCTTAACGATCAAGCCACAGCACTGGCCCAAAATTTTTTGATAATATACAATGCTGGGCATCCATTTCATCAGGTAGAAGATAGATGAAATACAGGATTGTTGAAAGCAGTTAAAATAGAAACAAAAGTGAATATATGGGCCCAAGGTCTAGCTGTCACATAGCTGTAAGTGAATCCAGGTTTCATATTCAATCTCAGTGTCCTTATTTTGTAAATGAGAGCACCATCTAGTCCAATTGTTGGAAAGACCCAAAGATATATATCAAAAGATATATGGGCATATACCAGTAATAACCCCTCAGTTGTAATAAACATGTCACACTAATGCAAGGGGTTAGCAATGGGGGAACCTGGTGTGGGTGCAGGTGAGGGCGGGTAGGTGGAGGTGAGGGCGGGCAGGTGACACTCTATTTTCTACTCAATATTTCTATAAAACCAAAATAATAAGAACGATAATGTTTATTTATGAAAAGGAAGATGCATGTTTGACACTTCATAAATATTCAAAACATAGGGGTTATTATTATTGACACTATGATACTATAATATGGGCTTTTCAAAGAAATTTGACTAATTCTATCATCTATCATTTCATAAGCTTTTAAAGTAAATAAGCCATCATTTCATTTTAGGAAGGGTAAAATATAAGTATATATGATATATTTGTATCTCTCAAAGTAAATATTCTTGACCTTCATTTTTGTTGTATGGCAGAATAGATTCAGAGAACAATCCTTTTGATTAAAACAAGTCAAATCCTGAATAAAATATTAGATGTGTTTTAACTTCATTGCTAAGCTGGCAGACGGGGACGGAAATGTAGAGGCCAAAAACAACGTGAAATCGTTAACCTTAGGGATCTGAAATGTCAACGACAGTCTTTTTGGTCTGAGGTTTTCTGCTAAGGCCTGGATATCTGAATTCAGTCAATGAGGGGAGTAGGGACAGAAAACGGAGCATAGAATCCACCCAAAATGAAGAGTTTAGCAGAAGACAAAGGGAGGGCTAGGACCTCAGAGGGCTGTACCATCAAAATGAGTAGAAATGATGGAAAGAAAGGAAGAAGGAAAGGGAATGGGAGGGAATGGGAGGGAATGGGAAGGGAGAAAAGAAGAAGGAGGGGAGAGAAAAATCCCTACAGAACTTCAAAGAGAGGGATCAGCAAGGAAATTTTCCTACTTTCAAGAGGCTAGGTAGATAGATCTTAACCCCAGAGCTGGCCCTTGGTTTGGTGTTCCAGTTCATGTCATTTTTATGATCCAAAAGATACTTCAAATAAATTTAGAGTTGGTTGTGCCCTGTGATGGTTCGTTTTAGCGGTCAACTTGGTGGGATTAAGGACCATGTGGATTGCAGGTAAAGCTGGACTTCCAGGTGTGTCCATGAGAGTGTTTTCAGGAGACTGGCCTGTGAGTCTGTAGATGAGGGAGGGGGAGCCACCCTCAGTGTGGGCGGGTGCCATCCAGTCAGCTGGAAACCAGAAGAGAATAAACAAGGAGAGGAATGAATTTCTTCTCTCTGTCCTGGAGCTGGGACTTCTCTTCCCCTTGGACTTTAGAATGCTGGCCTTTTTGGTCTTGGGGACTTACATGACTGGACCTCTAGTTCTGCTTCCACCAAGAGCAGCACCTTCAACTTTCCTGGTTTGGAGGTCTTCAGATTTGGGGCCTTGCTGCCAGCATCCAAGGGCGTTCAGCTCCCAGACAGCCTGTCATGGGATTTCTTAGCTGCCATAATCACATGGGCCGATTCCCCTCATAAATCCCTTCTCCTATAGCGGCATCCATTCGGTCACGCACTGCACGGCATTTCAGTCAACAATGGACTGCATGTATGACTGTGGTCCCATGAGATTATAATGGAGATGAAAATTTCTTATCACCTAGTGACATCATAGTCATCTTAACGTCATAGCTCAACATATAACTCACATGTTTGTGGTGATGCTGGTATAAACAAACCTACTACACTGCCAGCTGTGTACAACTATAGCACACAGAATTATGTATAGTAACTAATAAATGGGGATGCAACAGGTATATGCATTTATTATACTATTCTTCTTTTGATTTTAAGGTTTTTGCCATAGGGCAATGTGTTAGTGGAGAAAGACAGAGACAGTGAGAGGAAAAATGAGAAATCACCCCCTGTGTGTGAGGGGATGGACATGCCACTGCCCCTTCCCTACTCTCCTCCTGGGATTTTGGACATGCATGCACATGCATCCAGCATGAGTTTCAAGCCACCAGGTCTGGGACTCAAACTGTGGTCAGCCACATGGGAGTCCAGTACC